GGCCAGGCTGGTCTCAAACTCCTGACCTCAAGTGATCCACCCACCTCAGCCTCCCAGAGTGCTGGGATTACAGGTGTGAGCCACCGTGCCCAGCCAGACATCCTAGTTTAGATGTGCACCTTTGAAATACAAGCTTTGTGGTAATGTGGGAGTTGCTGTGGCCTCGTCCAGCAGTTTCAATCCCTTGGTGACAGTGGAAGCCAGGTTGGAGTGCAGGTAGAATAAACGGGAGGTGAGGAGGTAGAAATTGCACATGGAGAAAACACATGAGAAGTTTGGCTCCGAGGAGCGTGTGAAATGGGACAGCCAACAAGGTATACAGGACCACAGTGAGGCTTTTCCATTGGTGTTTACTCTAGGATTGGAAAATTAGATTTTTTTTTTATTCTTGCGATAGAATTTATTAATGGATTAATTTGAAAGATAATTATGAGTGAAAAAACAAGATGCTGAAGGATGTGATACATATATGTAAACATTTATAATATACCGATATTACATAATGTATGTGTGTATATATGTGTGTGTGTGTTTGTATGTTAAAGATAATATATGCCAGCGAGGTGGCTTATGCCTACAATCCTAGCACTTTGGGGGGCCAATGTGGGTGGATCGCTTGAGCCCAGCCTGGGAAACATAGTGAGACCCCATCTCCACAAAAAATACAACAGTTAGCTGGGCGTGGTGGCAAAAACCTGTAATCCCAGCTGCTCTGGGAGCTGAAGCAGGAGGACCAGTTGAGCCTGGGAGATAGAGGCTGCAGTGAGCTATGATGGTGCCCCTGCACTCCAGCCTTGGTGACAGATCAAGACCCTGTCTCAAACAAACAAAAAAACCCAAGATAAAATGTGAGCTTGGGTATTCTTGTGTTTTTTTACAGGTTGATTGAGCTATAGTTTACATACCACATAATTTAAAATGTACAACTTGGCCAGGTGTGGCAGCGCACACCTGTAATCCCAGCTAGTCAGGAGGCTGGGGCAGGAGAATCACTTGAACCCGGGAGGAGGAGGTTGTAGTGAGCCAAGGTCATGCCACTGCACTCCAGCCTGGGCAACAGAGCAAGACTCCATCTCAAAAATAAATTAATTAATTAATTAATTTAAAAATGTACAACTCAATGGTTTTAGCACATTTGCAGTTGTGCAAATTATCACACTTTTACATTTTCATCACTCCCCTCCTTCCCAAAAAAACCCATACCCATTAGCAGTTACTCTTCTTCCTCCCCCACCAGCCCTAGGCAACCACTAATCTGCTTTCTATTGCTAAAGATTTACCTATTCTGGACATTTCATAAAAATTGAATCATATAATATGTAGTCTTTTGTGAT